ACACCCATAAAACAGCTCTCTTTGGTCAAGATACCAAATTGAAGCAACATCATATGAAAGATACCAGCAGTGAGACTGCTAACCAAAAAAGTGTTTGACTAAATTAACAACAGATACAAAGAAAACTATGCAACAAACAAAATATATAGCTACTTCAAATAAAAGCCTGTACAAAAATAAAATGGAATTACATAACATCTAAGCATAAACACTGATTTATCAAAACTGTGAAATGAAAATCCAACATACCAAAACTTATGGGATGCAGTGAAACAATGCTAGAAGAGAAATTTATAGGTGTTAACACCTACATTAAAAAAGAAGAAATATCTCAAATCAATAACCTAACTGTATACACTTTAAGGAACTGGAAAAAGAAGAGTAAACTAAATCCAAAGGTAGAAGGAAGGAGTAACAAGGATTAGAGGAAGACAAACAAAAGAGACACTTTCTTAATCTGATAGAGGGTATCAATTAAAAAAGAAAAAACCTATAGCTAACACTATACCTAATGGTAAAACACCAAGTGTTTTTGCCAAAAGATCACTTACAAGGCAAGAAATGCTATCTTACCCCTCCTGTTCAGTATTGTACTGCAAGTCCTAGACAGGGCAGAAAGGCAAGAAAAAAAATAAATAAAGGGCCCACGTCTTGGGAAAGAATAGTAAAACTGTCACTGTTCACAAAAGACACGATTGTCTACATAGAAAATTCGATGGAATATACCCAAAAGGAGTTCAGAGAAGAGTTTAGCAAGGCTGCAGGATAGAATGTTAACTTTAAAAATAATCTGTATGCTTAGAAACTATAAAACACTGGAGAAAGGAGTCAAAGAAGTCCTAAAGAGAGAGATACACTGTATTTACAGATTGAAAGATTTAATAAGATGTCAATTCTCCCCCAAACTGACACTCAGATTCCAATGAAAATCCCACCAAGAATGCTTTGTGAATATGAACAAGTTGTTTCTAAAATGTATATGGAAAAGTAAAGGAATCAGAATAGGCAAAACAATTCCGTAAAGGAAGGACAAATTAGAGGACTCATACTTACCCAATTTTAAGAAACGCTGTAAGGCTACAGTAGTCAAGGCTGAGTGGTATCAGCAAAGAGACAGACACACAGGTCAAAGAAACAAAACAGATGGCCCAAAAATAGAACTATACAAATATGGCCAATTCGTTTTTTAACAATTTTAGTAAGATATAATTCACACACCATACAGTTTTGCCCATTTAAAATGGAAATTCAATGAGTATATTCACAGAGTTGTGCAACAATCACATCTTTATTTTTACATTTTCATTATTCTTAAAAAAAATCCCCATACTCATTAGCAGTCACTTTCCATCCTGCCCTGTATCTTCCGAGCTCTAAGCAACCACTAATCTACTTTCTGTTTTATACATTTGCCTATTCTGAAAATTTCACATGAAGGGGATCATACGATATGTGGTCTTGTGACTGGCTTCTTCCACGTAGACTGTGTTCAAGGCACATGTCTTTTTATTACCAGACAACGTTCCACTGCACGGACACAGACACTGTGTGTTCATTAGCTGACTGACATGTGGGCTGTTTCCACCTCTTGGCTATTATGAAAAATGCTGCCACTAGCATTCATGTTCAAGGTTTTGTGTGGACACAGGTTTTTAATTTCACTCAGGGAGATACTATCTAGGTGTGGAACTGCTGGATCACATGGTATAAACCCAGTATTTAACTTTCTGAAAAGTTCCAAATAGTTTCCCAAAGCGGCTCTATCAGTTTGCACCCCTCCCCCAGCCGTGTGTGAGGGTTCCCACACCGTCACCAAGATGTGTTACTGTCTTTTTAATCACAGCTACCCTAGTGGGGTATCTCATGTGGTTCTGATTGCCAATTCATTCATCGCAAAGGTGCAAAGTTAATTCAATGGAAAAAGAATAGTATTTTCAACAAACAGTGTGAGAAGAATTGGACAATCATATGCAAGAATAATGAACCTTGACCTAAACCTCACATATCCAAATACTAACTTAAAATGGATCACAGATCTAAGTGTAAAAAGTCAAACGATAAAACTTTTAGAAGAAAACACAGGAGAAAATCTTCAAGACCTAAGGTGTGAAGAGTTCTCAGATATGACACCAAATACATGATCCATAAAAAAAAAAAAAGTGATAAAGTGAACTTAAAAATTAAAAACCTTTGCTCTGGAAGGACACTATTAAGAGAATGAAAAGGCAAGATACGGACTGGGAGAAAATATCTGCAAATCACTTATTCAACAAAGGACACATTCAGAATATGTAAAGAACTCTCAAAACGCAACAACATATAAGAAACATACAACCCAATTTTTAAAGATGGGCAAAAGACTTCAACAGATAAAACAGATAGCAAGTAAGTACACAATCGATGCTCGACATCACCAGGTCGTGACGCAATTTAAAGCCACCGTACACCTCGATTAGAGAACATTTCTAAACAGACAGTACCAAGACCGGTAAGGACGCAAAGCCACCAGACTCCCACAGGGTGCTGGTGGAGGTGTGAGCCACACGGCCACTCTGGAAAACAGTTGGTAGTTTCTTAACAACTGAACGTGCGCTTAACATGACCCAACAATCCCACTTGTAGGTATTTACTAACAGCACTGAAAACTTATGTTCACACAAAAACCTATACATGAAGGGTCACAGCAGCTCTATCGTAATTGCCCAAAAAAAGGAAATACCCAAATGTTCTTCAACAGGCGAACAGAAAAACCGTGGTCCATGCACATAATGGACGCACACGCAACCGCACACCACTCAGCGATGAAAAGGAACGGACGTCCGACACACAGAGCACTCATCACGCGGAGTGAAAGCAGCTAGGCTCGAAGAGAGTTGTGTGACGTCATGTGATTCCATTCCCATGACATTCTGGAAAAGGACAGATCAGGGGCTGCAAGCCTCGGTGGCAGAGGTTGGGAGTGACCACACGGGGCGCAGGACAGGCGTGTTGGTGTGACCCCCAGCCCTGACTGTGCCGTGTCCCGTATTCCAGTCTCTGTCCTGACTGTGATGCTGGCCACACAAACCAACACCTGTGTTGTAACTCACGGGACAGTATGCCAAACAAAAGTCAGTTTTACTAATAATTTAAACAATAACTTAAAAATTTTAAAAACTTTAAAAATATGATCATATTCTTATTAAATGGTAAAGAATGCAAGCTATGAGCACAAAGGGTAAGAGCACTGAGCTTAGCTGCTCAGTCACAGAAGTCATCTTCCTCTGACCTCTTGTGAGCCCTCTGCCGGGGCCGCTGTCAAATCCACCCTGCCCTCGCTCTGACCGTCTCCTGACAGCAGTGGCCCCCCCAGCCACCCCAGTGGCTGACAGCGACTGATAGCGAGCAGACGACTAGCTGTTCGACTTGCTTTGTTTCTTCTGCGTTAATAAAATAAAGTAGGTATTCTTAATAAATGCTGAGTACAACAATGTGCCTAAACATTCTCAGTTATAAATTATTATAAAACCGTGTGAATAAAACTATATAGAATTTATTTATCATAATAGGCTCTCAGGCCTATAAATATGTACTTTGAAAATTACTATAGATAAATATTGATCTCAGAAATCATGTTTGGTCACTTTCCAAAACCATATTTAACTATGGGAAAGTGATTGCCAAAAGTTTCTCTGCTCTAGAACTCTATTCTATTGTGTTAAAAGTACTCTGCCGTTAGTATCTTAAGTTGTAACTGATCCTAGAGATTTCTCCACTGAAACACGAAGATCGGCACGAACAAACTTGGAGAGGCCATGTCCATCCCGTTCAGCAGAGGCCCCCAGTGAAGCCTTCCCCATCAAGAAAGGTCTTCAAGAAAGAATCAGGCCCACTCTCTTTCGTGTAACATGCATGACATTTTAACGTAGCAAGGCCAAAAGATTTATCATCAGAAATTATATACAAGCCTAACAGTAACATTCTGATTAGCGTCACAAAACATCAAAATACGTATCAATTATAAACTTGGAGGAGTTGATTTGCTGTTAGAGTCTCCAAATGTAGATCCCAGAATTTCACTGAGTAAATAAGTCCTCTAACTAGTATCCACCTGTGAATCTCTGAAATCATTATCAGCTTTAGGAAACCTCAGCTGTTTTCTATCTAGTATGACCTAATTTATACAAAAGGATCCTCACAAAATTTATTTTCAAACACATTTAACTGGAAGGTTAAAAAGCAGGTAGAGGTGATATTATGCTATCAATTTAAATATGCTATTATAGAAATAAGATGACAGATTAGAAGTCAAATGAATCTAATTTTAAAATACAACTAAGCTAGAATCCAAGCTAACTCATCCAACTGCAGTGTGTGCGTGTGTGCGCGTGCGTGTGTGCGCGTGCGTGTGCTGAGGATATCTAACAATAAATAATATCAAAGATAAACAAAACTAAAGAATTATCTTAGTAAAATGAGGCACGGACCCCAAATGACTTAGAAAGTATAAGGGTGCCATTTTCAGTAGCACCTCTGGACACGTGGTCTCTTCTACGGAAGGACAACATCATTTCTTCCAAACCAAACGGCATCTTTAAGAATTGTCTACTCATGTAAACAGTTATTTCTCTTAGTTCATAAGCAGAAATTACTTCTGTGTACCAAAGTATTAAAAGGAAAAGTAAGTCTATAAAAGCAACTAAAACAAACCAAGTACAGAGTATAAAATGACCCCAATTTTTATGTCTCCCCAACGTCTATCTATAAATCACAGGTAACGGCTTCTACACGAGGCGATTTCCGCAAAGACGCCAGCGTGGGTGATCTTTCCAACCCGGACACTCTTTTCTCCAGCTCCTTCCCTGCTGTTGGTTCCACTCAAACTACCACAGTTCAAGGACATCACAAACAGCCCGGACTAGGGAATCCTGAAGGTGCTTTTGGTAACAAATGGTCTATCGGCTTCGCAACCTGTGAACTGACACACGCACAACAAAGAGACGTTTTTAGCTGGTACCTACGTTCTTTCCGGTGCTCAACTAAACCTACGGCCTGCTTTGCCGAGCACTTCGCAAACCAGTTGTCCCCGAGTAAAACAGTGACTTCATTAGTGTGCACGAGTTTTCCCGGCATGAAGGCAAACGGGCCAAATGGTACCTATCGTTTAAAAAAAAAAAAAAGAAAAAAAGCAAAAACTTAAAACACTAAAAAAATATATTTTATGAAACATTTAGCATTATAAAAGCCCTGTATTTTTGTTGAGTTCTTTTTTTTTTTTATCCATACACTAGTTGAGGAAGAATGCCAACTCCACAGAAATTTAACATTATACTAAAATTTCACCAAGAAAATCTATAGAAAATTGCTTTAAGTTAATAAATCAATGTTAAAACAAGAAAATACATCCATATATATTTACACATAACTCTTAGAGTACTCTTAATACCGTTTACACTTTTCATTCATCTGTAAAACTAAATGAAAGTAAACTAGTAAAATACTAGTTTACTAGTAGTGACAGTAAAATACTGTCAATGGAGAATACGTCTGATAAAGAAAACTAAAAATCACTTTCAATAAGATGGCGTTTTTTCAAAGCAAGAACTAGTAAACAAATAGTTTTAATGGATCTACCCTGCTACATTTACAAAATATTTGGGCTAGTATTTAATAAGAACAAAGTCTTCTTGAGAAAGTTATATTCATGCAATGAAAGATTCTAATCCAGGGCTCATGAATACATCACTATGTCGATAAGAATATCATTAAAACAAAAATTAGCAGCACCTTTTTATATAAAAATCAATGTCCCAGGGTTTAATTCTGTGAATTATAAAACACTGTGGCCTATTACTGCTCTAGCTAACAGGAAGTGACTGAGTCCCATATTTCTGTCATAATTACAGTTTCTTAATGTAGTAAGTTTGCATATGAAATTTGTCAAATTCTGTGCTAATATTTATGTCATTTATGTCACCATAAAATAATTTTATATATCTAAAAAAAAGAAAACACTATATTGTAATTCGTGTATTATTACAAAGCAAAACAAAACAAATCTTCCTTGCTATGGTAGTTACCTGTGACACAATTCATCAGCTTGGCCATTTGTGAACCAACACATATATAGCAAAGAAACATTGTATCATTTCACATAGTTACTATGTTTGTAAGAAACAATGTATTAAAATACATTGTAAGAATACATTATAAGAAACAATGTATTAAAATACATTAAATACAATGTATTAAAAGAAACAGCAAACATACCATAATATTATAAGACAACTTATCAGGCAAGGTACTGAGTCTTTCTCGCAGGGCATTATAGTCATTATCTACCTTCGTCCTGTTGACAGAAAACACCATTAACACTAAATGAATACACAAATTGACAATTTTCCAACAGGCTATATATCATAAAACACGCCAATCAAAAACCTAATCTTAGCTATTTAAAGATTAAAGTGTTTTTCTAATTTTAAAATCCTGTTTTTACAACGTTTAGCAATCGGCCGGGCGCGGTGGCTCACGCCTGTAATCCTAGCACTCTGGGAGGCCGAGGTGGGCGGATTGCTCAAGGTCAGGAGTTCGAAACAAAGTTTAGCAATGGCTAAATTCTTATTAAAAATTAAGACTCTCCAGGGACTTTGGCTTTTAGAAGTAGAACACTTGCATCTTGAGAATTAGTTTCTCCTAAGAGAACAAGATGCTCTGGACTAAATGAAATGTGAAAATTAAGGGAGATAGTGAAGAAGGGCCTGATGTTTGGAGGGAAGCATGGACTCAAGATGTGGGAAGAAGAGATTTAATAAAGCTTCTGAGTGAATAAACACTGGCTGTGAGTAGAAATCATGAACACGAAATTTGATCAGATGCTTCAGTCCTCATCAGAAAACTTTAGGCTGAAAACTGTGGTGTCATCAACTCTTCAATTATTCATACTAATGTGATTAACGTGACAGAGAATCAACCAGGGGGTAGAAGAAATTAGGAAGCGGTAATACAAAAAGCATTTCAATTTGGCTTTGGAGTCTGCTTCATGTTAGAGAGCTACCAAACAACCAAAAGATGTAATTTTGCAGGAGCAGAGATGGTCACGTTTCCATGCGATGGCTCTACTCTGTCCTTAACGCCTGCTGGAGATGAACAGCCCTTCTTTCTGAGTGACACCAGCCACCAGCCTGCACTGGCATGGCCATTTTCAAACCTTCTCTGGAGATTAGGTTCCCTAAGAGTTCCCTGCTAGGAAGTAGGCTGCAGGCAAAACCAGAGCACCAAAATTTCTTATAAGCAGAGGGTGTTGTCAATTTTTAAAAATAACAAAAACTCGCCAGCTCAGCAACTAATTAAAAAGAACATGGGGACTTTGCCAAATCGAAATTAGGACAAACTGCGGCGTAGATAATCGCTCTCCAGATATAAAATGACTGCGCTACGGACACCATGGAATTGGTTTCAGTTCTCTCCTTAGCTCCCCGAAGCAACCGCAGCATAACTAATAACAATCTATCTCATTTAGTCTTAAGATCTCATGGAGTTTCACATACACAACTGATCCTAAAAATATTCCTGTAGTAAATGTCACCAGTCAACATTTTGCTCTTCCAGGAGGGAAAGTAGAAGGAATATGGAAAAACCACACATGGAAGAGAAACCAGATCTGCTACATCAAGATGAGGCCAGATGAGTCTAACCTGCCTGTCTTCTGAACTGTATTTTTTCAAGCAAGTTTTCTCATTCTGTAGTAAGTGCTTTTTTATTTTTTTTTATTTTTTATTTTTTGAGACAGAGTCTCACTTTGTTGCCCAGGCTAGAGTGAGTGCCGTGGCGTCAGCCTAGCTCACAGCAACCTCAGACTCCTGGGCTCAAGCGATCCTCCTGCCTCAGCCTCCCCAGGAGCTGGGACTACAGGCATGCGCCACCATGCCCGGCTCATTTTTTAAATATATATATTAGTTGGCCAATTAATTTCTTTCTATTTATAGTAGAGACAGGGTCTGGCTCTTGCTCAGGCTGGTTTCGGACTCCTGACCTTGAGCAATCTGCCCGCCTCGTCCTCCCAGAGAGCTAGGATTACAGGCGTGAGCCACCGCGCCCGGCCGGTAAGTGCTTTTTTTTATAAACTTTCCCCAAGAATCCTTTTCTACAAATAAACATAAAATGTCCTTTATTATGTTTAAGGCAAAAATCATCATTCTAGGTAAATTTTATATGGATAAAAATGCCTCCCCCTACCCCGGAAAAAAATTTTAAAAAGTCATGCACAGGGCTATGTATAAGAACGAACACGGCTTTGAAGTCAGACCAGAGGGTGAATCCCGGCTCTACTACTCAATTTACGCAAATTTACCTTAGTCTTATTATTATCAATGATAAAAGTGCAATAATACCTAACTATCTCATAGGTTCAAGAGAATTAAATATAAAAGACTTAACACATAGGCTATTACTGAACACCTACTACACTGGTTCCATTTTTTCCAATGAAGTGTCAAAAAAATACCAATTCTAAAATTTTCAAAAGAGATTACTGCCCACTAAGATTCCACTACTTTAAATTCATTCAATTTGATACAAACAGCATGACTTACTGACAGTACATTCAGGGGCTTTGGAGATAGGGTTAATGTGAGCAATAAATGGGACAGTGTCTATAAGGGAATGATCTGGTACAGTGTCTACACAGAGAAAAGTCGTCACTGAATATGGAATACTGTCTATTTATGTTTCAGATAAGTAACTGTGCAAATGCTCAAGAACTATTATCGGCTTAGATATCTTTCTATAATTGTTAAGAAGCTAGTATTAAAACGTTGGCACTTACAGCACAATACGTCCTGTTTTGGTAACTAGGAAACAAACTTCCTGACAAAACATCTCTTTTACACATGAAAAGAACAGTAGGTTCAACCATAGGTAATACCAGAGATCACTGCCAGCACTCCAAGTATACTCAGTTTTAAATGTATTAATAATTCTCTCTAGAACAAAAATGTGTACATACTAGAGCACAAATTAAGATCAGAGTTGCTATTCCTAAATTTTGAACTATTTTCTAAAGATACAAAATGAAGGGGGAGATCATTTACGATGCAGCCCGTGCACAAATGCTCCTGAAGGGAGGCGCACAGGAGCCGAGCCCCACTCTCCTGGGGCGGCTTGAGGGGCTCTCTCTGAAGGCTGCACGAGTGACGATGTCCAGGACCAAGCACCTCGTCAAGGAATGATCTCCAAACAGTCCCTCTAATATGTAGGGCTTAAGTAATTCCATTAAAGATCACAAAGCCTCTGTAACAGAAAATACAAAAGCTATTCTAAGAACTAATGTGTACAGAAGGTAAGTAGGGGATCTTGATTTGCACGAAAATTTGAACAGGTTTTTTTCCTATTTTATTGCTTAGGAACATATAATTAATTTTGGGATGCTGCCATACTAAAACTACAGTAGTCGAAAGAGGTATTATAATTGCTTAACAATTTTTTTTTCAAATGGAAAACAAAATCCAGATATAGTTAGGATAAACCTCTCTACCCTACTTGTAACACACAGACCTGCTTGTTTGGCTTTACCACATTTGATTCTTATAAATTTAGGTTCAGCCTTCAATTTTTAATTTGAAGATTTTATCCAATAAATAAGATTTAATTTGCACCATGCAATATTCCTTACAGAAAACAAAAACTACAGCAGCAGCATCAGGCTTATAAGGAACTTTTACAACCTTCTTCTGAATCTTGCTAATCATTGCTATAAGCCTTCTGAGAAGCATGTTTAAAAAAAAAAGCTATGAAGGATGTGATACAACTGAGGTTAAAGTGAGCTTAACCTTAAAAGATTAAGATCAGGCTAGTGCGGTGGCTCTCGCTTGTCATCCTAGCACTCTGGGAGGGCAAGGCAGGTGGATCGCTCAAGGTCAGGAGTTGGAAACCAGCCTGAGCAAGAGCGAGACCCCATCTCTACTATAAATAGAAAGAAATTAATTGGCCAACTAATATATATAGGAAAAAATTAGCCGGGCATGGTGGCACATGCCTGTAGTCCCAGCTACCTGGGAGGCTGAGGCAGGAGGATCGCTTGAGCCCAGGAGTTTGAGGTTGCTGTGAGCTAGGCTGACGCCACGGCACTCACTCTAGCCTGGGCAACAAAGCGAGACTCTGTCTCAAAAAAACAAAAACAAAAACAAAAAAACACAAATATTTCTAGCTTATGCAAACCATTTCTGAAAAGATTTGTTGAAAAACCAGTAAAAACAGCTACCTCCAGAAAAGAGAAATGAGAATTAGGGGCAAGTGTAGGGGGAAACTATACATCATATATACCCTCTAGTACCTCTTAAATTTTGAAACATGTGAATATACTAATTTAAAGTTTTTTATTTAAATTTTAAAAAGTTAATACAGAGACTTTTTGTCTCTTAAAGATATATACTGTACTACTTCCAGATGGAATGATACAATCTAGGTTCATGTCAAAATAAATGGAGGTGGGGTGGAAGATAGGATAGGATATTGAAATGAAACAGTTTAGATAAAACCATGAGCTGCTATTTATTGAAGCTGACTGATGGTCCACAAAGGTTCACTATACCACTGTCACTTCTTGTTTGAAATTCTTAAAAAAAAAAAAATGATTTAAAAATATTAATGTAAAGCTGTAACGATAAGGCTCAGAAAGCCAAATATCTCCATCATGATACAAGATGATAATGGCATGAATATAAAACATTCACAGATATTTACAAAGCACTGGCTTTTTTTTTCTTTATTCATCTGACAATTAAAATTGTCAAAGAAGATGTATGAGCTGCTATTAATACTTATTGAGTGCCAGGCTGGGTCCTCACTCTACAGACATTATCTCATTTCATCTTCACTAACAAACCTTTGAGTTAAGTATTAAAAGTAGTATCATCACTTTACAAAAAAAAACAAAAAAAAACAATTGAGACTCTCAGCAAAATGATCCAAGGTTACAAAATTAGTAAACAACAGGATTCAACTGCAGGTTTCCGACTCCAAACTCCATGCTCTTTAAGGAAGAAATGAAAAGCTAAAAAATTACAAACAATCCATAAACAGAATAATCCACTGCCAGTGGACCAAACAGCGGGAAATATACTCACATTTTAATGAGAAAATAGTGTATGGATTTTATAATACCTTATTTCCTAAGTAAAAGGCATTATAAAGAAAAAAAATCTTTATTCAAATTTTTTTTTAAATCCTCACTAAACTGAAAACAACTCTTAGCTCTAAAACTATGTTGTACGAATTCCCATCTATCAGGCTTGAACACTTTCTTTGTATCTATTATTATTTTTTTTTATTTCAGCATATTATGGGGGTATGTATCTGTTATTAGCTAAAAAATTTTGTAAGTGTCTTAGTTCACCAAAGTTCTGGGATTTAAATTCCTTTTTCAGAAGAGACCTTTTTAGGGCAGATCTGCTGGTCCCAGACCATTTTCACTCCTACTTTTCCACAAATATTCTTACTTCCTCTCCTACATTTAAAAAAAAACCAAAAACATGTTAGACTATTTCTGAACCAAGAATATACATTACTTGTCCCTTAAATTTAAAAAAAAAATCCTTTAAAATTGCACAAACATGCATAAACAACGCTAGCCTAAGAATGCACTTTTAAAATCATATATTTTGTTCTTCCTTATTATATTGGTATGGAGCTTAGCCACACGAATTATATATTTTAGACTAGGCTAACACCAAGGGTTAAAGAATTGAAAGCAGCAAGGGCGGTGGCTCATGCCTATAATCCTAGCACTCTGGGAGGCTGAGGTGGGAGGATAGCTTGAGGTTACAGATTCCAGACCTGAGCAAGAGTGAGACCCATGTATCCTACAAAAAAAAAAAAAAAAAAAAAAATTAGCTGGGTGTGGTGGCATGTGCCTGTAGTCTCAGCTTCTGGGGAGGCTGAGGCAGGAGGATCACCTGAGCCCAGGAGTCTGAGGTTGCCGTGAGCTAGGCTGACACCACAGCACTCTAGCCTGGACAACAGAGTGAGACCCTGTCTCAAAAAAAAAAAAGGCAGCATGCTTTTAATAGTAGTGTGAGAGACATCCTTAAGAGGTTCCAGCCCCTAAACTGGCTCTGTACTTGCTTCAGATCTCTACAAACAGCAAAAAATTATTGTGGTTTCTCTGTTAGTGCCTATGAATTCCTCCGCGCCAGGGTCTCTCAACTCCAAACAGCAGCACAACACTGCAGCAGGCCGGGCGCTGTGGCTCACGCCTGTAATCCTAGCTCTTGGGAGGCCGAGGCGGGCGGATTGCTCAAGGTCAGGAGTTCAAAACCAGCCTGAGCAAGAGCGAGACCCCGTCTCTACTATAAATAGAAAGAAATTAATTGGCCAACTGATATATATATAAAAAATTAGCCGGGCATGGTGGCGCATGCCTGTAGTCCCAGCTACCTGGGAGGCTGAGGCAGAAGGATCACTCGAGCCCAGGAGTTTGAGGTTGCTGTGAGCTAGGCTGACGCCACGGCACTCACTCTAGCCTGGGCAACAAAGTGAGACTCTGTCTCAAAAAAAAAAAAAAAAAAAAAACACTGCAGCATACGGCAGGAACTCAATCATTATCCGAAGAATTAAGAGAATACAAAAGTATCATAAGAATTCCATGATGGGCCCAAATAGCAATTTCCTGGCTTTCGGGGGGGGAATGGAGACACTTTGGTTTCAATTTTTGAATATAATGAATTGATGAGTTTACTGGCCATTTAGACTTCAGCAATATGCTACTATGTGTAGATCCTCATTAAAAAGCAAACAGAAAAGTCTGTTTCCTAAGACATATCAGAAATGGCTCAGAGGAAAAGGAAAATTTTTAACCTCAAAAAATGTTTTAACTTTTTAAATGTATAGTTATGGTACTGTATTACTTTAAGGTATGTACAGGCAAATATGTTAAGCTTCTACAGTTTGGAAGGTTCTAGAAAACTGGAGAGTGAGACAGAGCGTCACATGAACCTGCCCTGAAGGAGATGTCACACTTCTGCCACTGCTCACCAGACTGACGCGCTATCACAGTGTCTGTCAACTAGAACGCAGCGTTTATTATTTATTAAGCACCCATTTCGTGCCAAACAGGAGGGGCTGTGGATTAAAGGATAAAAACATGCCCCCTCCTTAAAGAATTTTCTAAAAAGGAAAGATCCTTACAAACAAACCAAAAGCAAGTTATTATTCACACATTTGTATGAACTAGTCTCTGTTCTGAATGATTACAGCCTCTTCTAATTTCCTGAACTCCTTACCAAAACCAACAGACATAAGTTCACGTTAATAAAACTTCCCCTGAGAATTAATCGTAAAATGAACCACTTTGGCCACATTTGCAGGGGGGAAAAAAATTCTTTGGCCCAGGACTTGAATTTCAAGTTTTAACCTGAACTGAATGTATAACGAAAAGGGAACGGTCCGTCCGTTATGGAAACGTTGACAGACTTCACCACCAGGATGCAACCACAATGTTGCATTTATTGAAAATTAATGAAGTCCTGAATTCTTATTTATAAAGTGAATATTACTAGTTTTAGATTATTTTTCTGCAAGCCAATAGTCAAAATTTAATAAGATGATGTGTACAGATTGTACCGATTTCCACTCTTATCCACTGCTTGCAGCCTATGTGCATTTAAACCAAAAAACATTTGATATATACTAACTATAAATTATTTCCTTGGAGATCTCTCAGGCATGAAGAAAAAGCCTCTTAAAATAAATTTAAAATATTATATGCTTGATGGTGTATAACCGAAGGTTTAATCTCACACTGAAGGGGCAGTTACCATGCTTTTGCAATAACCCTACAGACAATAATCAAGACAGCTCCTGTTGTTCTCTCAGTAAAATCTCCGTAAACACAGCATGGATATATTGTAATTTGGTATCTGCAAGATCAGCAGCTAGACCTCATGACAACTCATAATGTAAGATTTTATTCATCATTAAATCGAGTGTTTTCCTCAGAAGCTAAAGGAAAGGTTATTTACCAATCACTGTCCTATTAACCATAGGTTAACACATTAAAATAGATATTTTCTTTCAAAAAGTGCAGTCTATAAAGCAAGCTCTGAAATGTAGGAAATTTGATTTTTCAAACTTTGGGAAAATGTTTCTGTGCCAGATTTCCATCATTATTTTAGAATAACTGATTCCAATTATTCTTCTACTACAAATATAAGAAATATTCCCCCAAAAGGAGCTCTTTATGATCAGTCAGGTTCAAAAAAATGTCTGTCTCCACTTCATAATAACAGTAATATTATTCTAATTTTTAAAGAAAAAAGGAAAGAAAAAGAATGCAATTAGAATAAACACAAATGGTGACACAACTTCAGGAAATCAGGAAACATGTAATTCAGAAAAGGATGAAAGACAATATAAATTAGTATCAAAGGCATTCAAAATGGAGATTACTAGAAGAATTCAATTACTGGTCACACACACACAAAAAAAAAACTGTACACACATCATTTAAATACAAACAAGTTACCAAATCAGTATTTCAGAAGTGTAATAAAACCATCTTTCACTCACCAATGCTGGATTTTCTCTTGGCAGTTAGTGACCACCTGTCATGGAAACAGATAACTACTCATGAAAAACAGGGCTACGCACACAGAGCTACAAAATCAGCGCATCTGAAAACTAAAACAGTGGCGTTACAGATTTAATAGCATCTCAGTGTACATTTTTATTTGTCAGATGCACAGAGATGTGAGTGTTAGTTTTTAAGCAGCACACTTCATCATAACCCTCTAATGTAGGCTGATAACCGCAGAACAAATTACAGCTTTCTGATTCACACTCTGGTACAAAACCCGCTTCATAACTGTTAGGTGACATATGATGTAAGATAACTAGTATTTTGTACAATCTACAGACCGGTTTTCAATGTTATACATATTTTGTAGAATACGCAAATGTGATAAATAACAAGAAACCAATGTAACATCCATGTCTCATCAGAAAAAAAAAAAAATGACAGTACTGAAAATATTTTATTTTGTCAGTATATCTCCAAATGTTTTCACCTGTGATTTTTATTCTGACGCATTAAAAAATGAATTCAGTGATATTTTTCTACTACATTTTCAAGAAGAAATACTTGGGATAAAGAGATGCTCTGAACAGCTCATTTGTTCCCCAGTGAATTATGATAAAATTTGTAAGCACTTCACAGACAGTTTAAACTATGTTTATAATACTAAAACAATGAAATTAAGCACAAAAGTTATTTGTTTCCTTAGAGATATTTCAGTAGAGCCTCCATATGCTCAGGAAACAAATGAGAACACTAGTTAATAAGGGAAAATGTAATTTAAAATATAACACTATTTTTGAATGGCAATTTTTAAATTAACACTATTTTCAAAGATTGCTAATTATCTACTTTTAAATTACCTATGAATAAAAATTCTAAACGCCAATCTAGAATAACACTGCACCATTTTAGAGACAGAGAAACTAAAGGATAAAAATCAAAATGCTTAATATTAGGCCATGTGGAAAAGACAGCAGCATTTTCTGGTTTGTGACACATTGCTCCAGTTCACTGTTCTAAATACCAACATTGCCTCTTGTACATACTCAACATTTCACCCAAAAATTATAAGATTTTTTTTTTCAATCTGTCACTAAATTCCTCTATTATAACATTTGATTCCTGAAATAAATGTCCTCCTCTGGGACATTTAAATACTAAGGCAGCAATCCCATACCAAAAAAAAAAAAAAACACATGCTATAATCAGATACCCAACCATACTACACATTAACTCAGCACAAAAAGTCCGTTTTAGAATGAAGATCTCTCAGTAAGTATCAATCACATAGCAACACTTAATAATAGTGGAAATATATAATAGAGTACTGACTTTACATCTGGAAGAGCCAAGCTAAAACTACATCAATCCATTTCACTGTTTCTGATTTGGCAGTCATTATAAAATAGACAAATAGAATTAAATGTAAATTGAAAAAGGAAAAAAAAAAAAATCTTCATGAAATCCTTTTTATAAGTTCCTATTTAACAACCCCACTAAAAGATGAGACCCAAAATCAGTCAGGATGTTTTCCAATCCCGATGCATGTGTTTCCAAGCATGAAGTGAGCCAAAAGCACAAAAAGAAAAGCCCTGAAAACCGTAAGAGCAGAATGTTCATTAACCTCTACATGATAATCCTTTCGTAGCTGCATATTAACTAGTTACATATTCATAATCATTTACATTATTTAAAGGACCTTCGATGAAATTTTCTAAGCTATATCCATTAGTGACAGTGTTAAAGGTTATGGAAGATAGTCTACTTAATGTTTCCAGGAAGCCTTTTTAATTAGTAAATATGTAAATTTGGCATACATGCTTTTTATGTTTAAAAAACAAGTCAGTGGTGGAGTGGCATGTGTTCTTGCCTCCACTCCCCAGCCTACCCTCCACTTTGTTCCAGCCCTCCTTCCCCACTCCCCAGCCCACCCTCCACTTTGTTCCAGCCCTCCTTCCCCACTCCCCAGCCACCCTCCACTTTGTTCCAGCCCTCCTTCCCCACTCCCCAGCCCACCCTCCACTTTGTTCCAGCCCTCCTTCCCCACTCCCCAGCCCTTTTCCTTCCTAAAATGGTCTCCCTAGGAACAGATACTCAAGGATAGACCAACAATAAAAATCCGTTTCATAATTTACAAGAGAAATTGTCACTACCAAAATACTGCCTTTCATTTAAAGTCTTTACTAGTTACATACACTGTTTAGAACATCAGAGACAGAGACTTCAGTTAAGCGCTGCCCAAATGTAGACTAGAGAAGTGGTATTTTGGAAATCAGAAATAAGGGGAAATTAGAGAAGCAGGTCTGAAAACACGCGTAGACAGCCAAGGAGACAGATGGTGTGTCTACTCTCACCTTTGTTTATGAAATTTAAAGTCCACTACTTTCAAAACACATCTGAACCCAAGCAGTTGTATTTATTTATATTTTGAGTTGTTTGGTTTCTTTTTAGTTTTCTTCTCTTTTACAATAAGTTTTTCAAAAGAAAAAATTAGTAAATTTCTTTAACTTAGCTGCCAAGGAAAATTTTAGGAGGGAGAAAAATCTCATGATTCAAAGTTGAATGTACCTGGGTTATTTAAACACACACACACACACACACTTATTTTTCCTAAAAGTTAGATTACTCCAAATAATCTTACTTTTCCTGAAAGGTGACTCAGATTAATTCCTTTAAGTATTAAAATAAGTGACCAGAAGGTAGTGAGCCCTAGTTTGTTTTTTTAAGATAAACCTGCCAAAGCATGCAAATAATACCCCTAAAGAAAATGCCTTATTTTATCCTTTTAAAAAAAAGAATTAGTTTCTAGGTTTCAACTATTAAAATAAACAAACTAGTAAATTCTTTAATATAATGACTGTACTTATAGTCAAGAATTTATAAATAAAATATGTACTTATGTAGTGGTATAGCAATAAGTCCACCACAAAGAAAAAAGACTATGAGCTGATTTACCACTTTGTAAGATACAATCTACCATTAACAGTCTTTACCAACAACCCAGGAGCTACAAAACAAAATTATATGGTACACTTTCTTAACAACACAAAACAGTTTTTAACCTATGAATAACAACAACAGCGGCATATACCAACACTTCCTACAAGGCAAATCAAGCTTCAGACAGTTCAATGAAGTAGGTTTTAACCTCTTTTTGAAGAGAGGAAACCTGTGTACAGAGACGAAGAATATTACCTAACTTTAGGTAATATTACACACCTGTCCAAGAACTGGTAAGAGAGGAAACCAGATTTTTTAAAACAAGGTCTATTTAACTGGGCCTATCTAATGCGGAAGCCCAGACGCCCTGCAATGGACTGCTTCCTGCTATCACACAACTCGGGGGATAACAGAGAAAGGTGGCTGTTCACACCTGCAGTCCACCTTTCCCAAATGCTGACTACCGTTCCTGTTTCTTCTCCACTTCTTCCTCAGTCCCACACTCACAAACGAGACCTTGGCAATAATGTCAATAAAAGCAAATACTGTAAGCTTAAATTCACCAATTCATTAACATAAATCCTTACTAATAATTCCCATGTCTCATACAGCTCCTGGCCCCTTCAGATCAAATAACTAGGTAGAAACAACACACTTCCCAAGCATCACGTACGTGTGTGTGTGTGTGTGTGTGTGTGTGTGTGTGTGTGTGTTTAGGGGCAGCAGGAAGGTAACGGGCTAACCCCGTAACTGCTATCACATCTCATCCTATTTGAAGACACAACAGCTAACAGAGTTACATGCCCAGAATTACGATGATGGGGAGCCCACCCAACAATCTAGTATTCGGTTGGTGTCCAGCTACCGCATACACACATTCTATTATAAAGGGCTAGAATAATGTTTGATAAATTTTAAGGTCAATAAATTATATGGAAAACAGGAATAATAATAATTCTTTTGTTATTTTTCCTTAGAAGTTGCTTTTTAAAAATTATTTGATAAAGGAATGAATGAATGATTTAACATGCAGTAAGATCCTAAGTACTTAAAATTTCTATTTGTGCTATTTATTTTGGTGACAGACCACAAGGGGGCATCAACCTATGAGTTTTCCAGTTAAATACAGTGCCACATCAAAACTAGACTGGAACAGAAAGCCAAAAAGGTTAAGTTTGCTTCTTGATTTTTGATACTTCTCTCAAAAATGCTTCACTTCACTTCTGAAACTTTTCTCACTGTACTGCAATTTCAGATTTTTCCTGTATGGGTTAATGTATAAAATAACAGTTTGGGAATTGTACTAATCAGAGCTGTCTAAATTTATATGGTTTGCTTCTCTTGCTAGACTGTAGCTTCAAGACAGCTCTTACTTACTATTTTGGTTTTAAAGCTGCTGAGTCAAAAAGAAAAAAGTATCACACATACACTGCTATCTGACAGTTACTTAAAGGCTGAAAATAGTTTCTAAAAAGACAGTCAATTAATTAGATGTATAAATGTTATTACCAAAGTATTCAAGAAGTGTACTTTCAACAAAATTAGCAAAAATTACAAATCTGTTAAATAAAGCCCTTTGTGAAGGAGAGAGGAATTGACTACAGGTTCCTAACAGAAAAAAAAATGCAATGACCAGTGGGACAAATTAGAATAAACTGAGTGTTACTGTATAAAAACCACCACAAAGGCAAAGAAAACCATTTCACTTTTAAACAAATTATGTTCTAAATATGCTGAAAGGCAATTACATGGAGCCACTTCTTAAAACGCTTAAATGTTATTTAAAAATTTAGCTAAGATAGAATCAAAATGATCATCTTAATCCTTCGACGTTTTAGCCAGTTTTCTCCCACACATGCTTTTAAGGCATTTTGTTAAGTATTCAAACCTGGTCTCATTTTACAAAAATACTGGACTATGTCTGACGCACTTTGGTACCGTACATCTCATTCCCTTGTTGGTTTTACCTGCAAACTGGGGCTCTTTTCATTACTCTTAATCCCAAGTACCCTCATTATGTACAGTTTCCTCCTACTGGAAATATTTAAAGACTAGTGACATATACCCAGTGACATGTCTAAGAATGAA